ATAATCTGCTGGTGGGAAAATAGGGTCATGGCATGAAAATGGTGGTGGTTGGGGCTGTGCTGCTGTAGTTAGGCTGGTCAGGGAAGGGGCCAGCTCTCAGCATGGGCTCCTGGTACTTAGTAATTGCTGGCTGCATTTCACTTGTACTCAAGTGTTGTTGCTGTTGTTGGGTGCTGTCGAGTTAATTCCGACTCATAGTGACCCCATGTAACAGAGTAGAACTGCTGAAATCTTTTTGGGAGCAAATCGACAGGTCTTTCTCCCAAGGAGCCACTGGGAGCAGCTGAGTGCTTAACTTTTGCACCACCAGGGCTTCTTGTGCCCAATTCCCAAACCCGTTGCCGTCGAGTAGATTTGGACTCATAGCGACTCTATGGGACAGAGTAGAACTGCCCTGTAGCATTTCCAAGGAGTGGCTGGTGGATTTGAACTGCCGACCTTTTTGGTTAGCAGCCGAGCTCTTAACCACTACGCCACCAGGGCTCCTTGCACGCAATAGTCTAGTAATATTATTTATCCTTGGTATGGTTAAGAACTAAGAGATGAACAAAAAGACCTCTCAATAGCCAAAATAGGTTTCACAAAGCTTGAAACGGTAAAACTCATGGGCCTCCCCCATCAGATAGTCCCTTGGGCCTTTATAATGGTAACAGTGTAGTGAGCATCTTGGTATCCCTTAACAGATTAGAAGAATAAGGAGCAGGCTGTGGGTGGGGCAGGGAGCTGAGGCCAGAGTGATGAATAAAGGCCAAGTGCTTTGATGGCATGTGACAAGGTGGCAGGGCTAGACCAAGCAGACGCAAGAACTCCTAAAAGCGTTATAGTCCCGGGCGATCTAAGGTGTGTGCAGTCGGCTTTCGGCAGTAAACTCTGAGGCCTTCAGTGATTGTGGCTTACCCTGTTGATTTATATATCACAATAATCATTATTTGGTTTAAGAAGTCAGAAAAGCATGTATCTGTGAAAGCCTTGCATTTAAATTGACTAAAACAAAACCAGTATTGATCATTAGAGAGTTAGGCTTCAGTTCCAGACAGCTGACGTATTGTATTTAGAAATTGTGTCTTAAAGACAAAACTTAAAAAATGATTAATATTTTAGAGTAGTACTTCGACTTGTAGTGAAATGAGTAATAGCATCTGTGCATCATTCCCACAAGGATTATTGTATTTCTGGTCATAATTATCAACATGAATTATTAGAGAAAACAGCCCCATTTTACAGATGGAGATGTAAGACAAATAGAGTTATGTAATTGACCATATTCACACAACTAAAATACAACGCTTGTTGCTGTCGAGTGGATTCTGACTCATGGCGACCCTATAGGACAGAGTAGAACTGCTCCATAGGGTTTCCAAGGAGCAGCTAGTGGATTTGAACTGCTGACCTTTTGGTCAGCCGAGCTGTTAACCACTGCACCAGCAGGACTCCAAGTCACAATAGGAGTTGGATTAAGATTTCATACATCTCCAACCAAGCCAGTCTTTAGCTATATTAGACTTTAGTAGTCGTGTTCTCTGTGGCTCCCGTGTGAGGACAGGCGACCAGATCCAGTGAGTGGCACTAGGCCCAGGCCTTACTGATGACCCAGCTGTTCTGTATGAGAGGGGTCTCACCCCAGCCTCACAGAGGCGGAGGTGCCAATTAAAATCAATTATTTAGACTAGACCATGTGTCTAAATGGAGAGCAAATAGGTCCCCCCCACCCTCTGACCATTGTGGGCTATTTTTATTAATCTTACTGTGGTAAAATGTATAAAACATAAAATTATTTTTTTTGCAAAGGAGTGGTATTGCTGGAACTTATGGGGAGGTGTGTGTTTAGCTTTAGAAGGAACTGCTAGACTGTTCTACAAAGTGGCAGTACCATTTTCCATTTTTAAGTGTAAATTCAGTGGCGTTAATTATGTTCACAATGTTGTGCAGCCATCGCCACCGACTGTTCCAAAACTTTTTCATCACCCCAAACAGAAACTGTACCCATTAAGCAGTCTTACCATTCCCTCCTGCCCCAGCCTTTGGTCACCTCTAATCTACTTTTCCTCCTCTATGAGTTTGTTTTTCTAGCTCTTTCGTATAAATAGAATCGTACAATATTTGTCCTTTTGTGTTTGGCTTTTTTCCCTTGGCATAATATAGTCAAGGTCCATCCATGTCATAGTTTGAACTTCATTTCGCTTTATGGCTGGATAATACCCCATTGTACAAATACATCGGAACCATGGTGGCACAGTGGTGAAGAGCTCGGCTGCTAACCGAAAGGTCAGGAGTTCAAATTCACCAAACATTCCTTGGAAAACCTATGGGGGCAGTTCTGCTCTGTCCTGTAGGGTTGCTATGAGTCACAGTCAACTTGATGGCAATGGGTTTGGTTTGGGTTTTGGGTACGGATATATCACATTTTGTTTATCCATTCATTTGTTCATGGACACTTGAGTTGTTTCCATCTTTTGACTACTGTGAATAATGCTGCAGTGAACATTGGTGTACAAGTATCTGTTTGAGTCCTTGCTTTTATTTCTTTTGGGTATATATCTTGAAGTAGAATTGCTGGGTCACATGATAATAATTCTATGTTTAACTTTTTGAAGAACCGCCAAACTGTTTTCCACAATGGCTGTACCACTTTACATTCTCACCAGCAGCGCACGAGGGTTCTGGCAAATGAATTGTGAAAGACGGTAATAAGCTCCCCTAAGCAGATGTTTTTGGTAGTTTCCCCTCGCAGTGTGCCTTGTTCTGCAGATTGTAAATATGACTCCATTGCAGATTTGCTTTGTATAGCCCCATCCCCGACCCCCACACCTTGCCCCCAGACTTTTCAGAGCTGGAATATGACAGTACAGGATTCTAGTAAGTTTATGGCTGCTCCGTGTTTGTACGTTCCTGCAATATGTCTTGTTGTCTTGCCTAGAAAATTGAGCCCCGATCCCCCAAACAGCACTTCCATATTGTGTGTAAGGGTTTATGTAAACCAAAAAGTCAACATATACTAGGGGGGTTGCTGGCTCTGTTGACTGAGCTTTACAGTGATTTTAACACGGGTAAAAGTGTTATCCTAACTGCTTCAAATCACTGCAAAGATGCTTGTGTGAAATATAGTATTAGATATCAAATCAAACATATGGGTGTTGAACGGGAAGGGTATGTGTTGTGGAAGTCTGTGGTATTCTAGCATGTGGAGTTGTATTTTATGGAAATCCTTTGCCTTGGTTTAAGGCAGGGACATACATTCATTATGAGATAGCAAGCTGTAAAATAAATAAAAGCAAAGAATTCAACTGTGCTGTTAAATGGTTTTCAGTATGAACTCGTCTGCTCCACCGGCTTGGGCAGTGTGTGATGAGAGGCATTTGTGAGCAATTGGGGCCAGCTTTCTTCTGATCATTAGTAACAGATTGGGTCAAAAGGAATATGAACATGAGTTTTTGAATTTTTTCCTTTTAGGGCATTGTATATGTTATGAATTACTGTGCGAACTGGTCTCAGAGGCAAAGTGTTTTCATGTTTTCCTCTTCCTTCTTTTCTTTCTCCTGATTCGGTAGTCTATAGTGAATTTGGTTTTTAAGTGTATATTAGAACTGATCTCTGATTTCATAAGTGTGTGAGTTTACGGAGCTCGTGTTCTTCGAGTTCCCAAGCAGACCATATTGTGGTATTAACAGAGTGAGGTCGCCGTTCTCTCTGGAGTGGCTTTTGCTGTCCTGTTGTCTTGCTTTTTTCTTTTTCTCCCTCTCTCTTTCAATTAGAGAAAGCGTCGGTAGATTTCTTATTTAAAAAAAAAAAAAAGTTAAAAATACCGTTAACGGCATATTCATTGTTTGAGGAAAGATTTTACTTTGAACAATGATTTCAAGGATTTTTAGGATCATGTAAAGTAGAGATGGAGAAGATGAATTTTGGTCATTTTTATCTAGTTCTCTGTTATTTGCAGCCCTGGTGGCTCAGTGGTTACGTGTTGGGTTGCTAACCACAAGGTCAGCGGTTCAAACCCACCAGAAGCTCCTCGGGAGAAGAGACTATTACTAATCTACTCCTGTAAAGATTTCAGCCTGAGGAACCCTGTGGGGGGGCAGTTCTGCTCTGTTATAGAGTCGCTATGAGTCAGAATTGACCTGACGATACACAGCACTGCTTTACAGCATTACCTGTTGTATCAACCTGGACAAAACTGTCCTTAAATTAGAGATGAATATCTTTCCTTCAAGAACTCATATTGATGGTTATATGGTTTGCTGCACTTTTTTTCCTAAAAGGGTTTCATCTGACTGTGAAGGAATGTATTTCCTTTTTAGCAAAAATAATTAGTAAATGGAGTTGCTAATGGAACTGGTACACATCTGCTACAAATGTAATTGGAAAGTTCTAGCCTTAACTGCTGTTTGAAATGAGAAACAAACGTGTACTGTTGTGTGCGCTCAAACTGCAAGCTTTCTACAAAATGAAACCAAACCAAACCAAACCTGTTGGCGTTGAGTCAATTCCGACTCATAGCGACCCTGCAGGACAGAGCAGAACTGCCCCATAGGGTTTCCAAGGAGTGGCTGGAGGATTCGAACTGCTGACCTTTTGGTTAGCAGCTGAGCTCTTGTACGCAGGAGACTGTTGGAGTTCATTTTAATTTTCAGTCTTGCACAGGAATGGATTTAATGTATCTTTGACCTTCTTAGCAGCAGCTTTTTTTTTTTTTTAATGTCAGTATTAGGAACTTTTTTTTTTTAATTGCACTAGGTTTTTATGAAGTTATCAATACTTGATATCTGATAAGTATGAGGAGTTTTCAAGGCAAAATCAAATGATCTTTTGCTTTCATTGATAGTATGTGAATAGAAGGCAGTATGTCAGTTATCTATCTTAATGAAGAGAGGATTAAAAATACTGAATTCAGCTGCTGAGGAGAGAACCTGCTTCTCTTCGCGTTGCTGAATTGAAACCATATTTTATTTCATTCAGTCATGTGTTTTGACTTTCGCTTGCTCTGCTTGACTTTTTGACAGATGCCACCTCAGTATGGACAGCAAGGTGTCAGTGGTTACTGCCAACAGGGCCAACAGCCATATTACAACCAGCAGCCACAGCCTCCGCACCTCCCACCGCAGGCACAGTATCTGCCATCCCAGGCCCAGCAGAGGTACCAGCCGCAGCAGGTGAGCCCGGCCACTGCCCTCCAGCCCTCTGGGCTTCCTCCAGGCTATGTTCAAGGACAGACAGACCTCTCTGAAAAACCTGCCTGTTCCAATTTCAAAATTATGCTTTCAGTGGAGCAAAATATGGTTTTGGGAAAATGCAAAACTATACCCTAATCTAATTTTTTATTTACTTATCTGTTTTTGGAAGTCTCAGATTGAAGGGTGAGAAGAATGACTAGTTTAATAGTTGCTTGCATTATGGTTAGTGACAGCAGAAAGTGTCCGTCATTTCATGCTCAGTGTAATTTGTGTTTGAAATCTTTCAAGAAAGTGCTCTGCCATTTTGTTGAGGCGTATTTGGGAGAATGGTTTTATCGATCATTTAATGTTGCTCGTTGGCACACGCATGGTATTTATAACTTGAGCTTTCTTTGTTGTTATTTTTGTTTTAATGGCAAGTGCTACATCAAACCATCATTGCCTTTGGCAGTGTTATTCTTCCCAAAGTAGCTTGTAAACAGATAATCGCTTCAATTACAATATATTAAAATACTAAAAGGAATCATGTACTTTAAGTATATTAAGCAGTTTCTAGTTTAAATTAGCCTCATTAAATATTCTTTTAGCTTATTGGGCTATATATTTCAAGCTTACATAATTTGTGGAGAAATAGTACTTATGTACTTTGTTCAAGGATTAGCTCCGTCTTCTGTTCTGAGAGACTCATTCATGAGTGACGTTAGGAGGAGTCATGAGCAAGGGATTCTTACTCTGAATCCAGATAAAATTTTCACAGCACTTCCCATCATCAGCATCAAACTGTAACTTTCCATTTTATATTTTCCTTTCTCCTTTCTCTTTTGTGGAGGTGGAAGTAGTAAAAAGAGGAGGAAGTCGATGTGACGTTGACTATTCAGTTTTTAAAGTGCTTTTATATGTCTTGAATAGATTGTCGATGCAACGCAAAATATATAAATATAGGGAGCTTAATTTTAATCAGTTCAGCTTGTTTCTTAAGTATTTTCTCAGGCTTATTGGAGTCTTTTGCCATGAGACTTTATTTAAGGGTTCTGAAAAGAGTTTATGACTTTAAACAAAACATGTTAAAACAACAGCTGAGGTTTAGGATCCTGTAGAACCTAGTTTTTGCATACATGTCTTCAGAATTTTGGTGATGTATCTGGGGTTTATTGAGGGTAGGGATATACATTATTTCAGAGTTACCTGGTCTAGCCTGTTATTAAAATGTGGTAAATTTTAAAACTTTCATATCAGTGTTTTTTAAGTGAGAGAGTGGTATCTGGGTTTTTAAGATATAAAATTATACGCTTTTTCTGCACTTTCAGAACCTTATTGAACTTCTCTTTACACACAGAATGTATTCTCATGTCATCAAAATGTAGGATTCAGTAGAGAGATTACATTATTCATTTTACTTCAGTGTGCTGAAATGGATCCCTGATTGTAAAACCCGCTTGATCAGGGCTTCTGGGTGCCTATCATTTCCGTCAGGACCAAGCTCAGACTTCCCTTCCTTTATACAGGAGGTGGCCAGGGAATTCCCAGTCTTGGCTATTCCCTGTAAGATAGATTTGGAAAGTTTCTCTTGGAAATGAGATCTAGCACCTCTGAAACCACAATAATCTCCCAAATGCATCCCCAAACAAAGCAAAAATTACAAATAGAATATTTTCAAAATCAAGCCCAATTTGTAATGCTGAATTCATAGATATTTAAAAGCCAAAAGGCTCAACTGTATTTAATAGAATAAGCCAGTGCTTTGTAAGAGCTAAAACATTCCCTTCTGCATACTCTCCTTTTATATCCAAAAGAGCATACATAGTCTACTGATTTTATTCAAAAACAAGAAACAAAAACGAACTGGTTGCTGTCGGGTCGATTCCAGCTCATAGCAACCTACAGGGCACAGTAGAACTGCCCCCTAGGGTTGACTTCATGTAAAGGAACCAGTAAACAGTATTTTGTGTTTTGTTGATGTGATCGATACAAAAGATAACTCCAAGGTTCTGTTAAGATACCTCACTTTGTGTCTTTAACCGTTTATTATGTTTAATGTTTTGAATAGTCAATACATTCATATATTTCAGAAATTAAAAAGTATAAGGAAAGAATAAGAAAAGTCTGCCTCCCACCCTAGTCCTCCCTGCTCAGTTCACCCACCCCACCCCTTGCCAGATAAACACTTTATTAGTTTATGTCTTTTTAGAGTTTCTTTATATATATGCATGCAAAATACCATATTTTAATTTTTAGTGTTTTTACACAAATGGTGGCGTGTTTTAACATACTATACATACTCTTCTGTTCTTTGTCAAGCCTACTTTCCGCTTTTCCCACTTAACTATATAGTCTGGAGATCTTTCCAAAGGAGTACATAGAGAGATCCTTGATTATTTTTTTATAGCTTCATTCCATTTTTACCAGTTCTCTGTTGATGGGCATTTGGATTATTTCTAATTATTTATAATTCAAACAATGCTGCCATGATAAACTTTGTATCCATATCATTTCATAATTGTGTAAGTATATTAGTAGAATTAATTCCTGGAAGTGACATTGCTGGGTTTGTATATCTGGTAGCTATTGTCAGATTGTTTTTCATAAGGTTGTACGAATTTATACTCTCACCAGCTATGTGTGAGAGCACCTGTTTCCCTACTCATTTGCATGGTTTTATGAAGCTTCTGGATTTTTACCCATTTGATGTTTTAATTTGCATTTATTTTATTATGAGTGATGTTGAGCACCTTCTTACATATTTAAAAGCATTTGTGTTCCCTTTTTCTGAACTGTAAATTCACATATTTTTACCTTGAATGTTTTTCTGTTTAGTTGTACGTCTTTTAAAAATTGATTTATAAAAACTCTTTGTATATTAAGGAGACTAGACCTTTGTCTCTGATATCAGTAAACCACTATTCCCCCATCTTGTCATTTGTCTTTTGATGCTATAGTATTTTTTTATGGCCTCTGGATTTTTAGTGGGTTCAAAAGGCCTTGCAGACTCCAGCACTGTAAAGGAACTCTCTTCTTTTACCATGTAGTGTTCTTATAGATTCATTTTTGCGTTTGATTTATCCTAATCTGTGGAGAGAAGTATAATCTAAATGAATGTTTGTTTGTTTTTTTTTCTCTTCTGGATGGTTACTTAACTTGTTTTAACACCTTTTCTTGTGTAGGTTGTCTTCCCTTCGTTCACTGGAGATGCCACTTTTATCCCTTCAGTATTATAATATTTGAGTTATTCCTGGAATTTCTGTTGTTTTCCATTAGTCCTTAATGTATTAGTACTATACTGTTTTTTATTATGTTGTAGGATCTGGTAGGGTTAGTATACTCATTACTTTTCTTTTTCAGAGTTTTCTTGGCTATTTTTGTCTGCTGTTTTTTCACATAAACTTTCTTGTTCATTTCTTACCATTTCTTTTTCCTAAGAGTTTTGTTGTTTTTTTGTTGCTATTATAATGGCATCTTTTTTCTTTCTTTCTTTTTCTGTGAGATAGATAATACTTGCAAAAGCATAACGGTAAGACAAACAGAAGTACCTTACTTGAACAATGTTTTGCCTTGTTGAGGCCCGCTGAGCAAATACCAGGAACACACATACAGTAATAGTAGTGCTCGTAGTAGTAGCAGCGGCAGGAGCAGTGATAGTAAAAATAATAATAATAATCACTGAGTTTATTTAGCTTAGGTTACGGCAGGCCGGGGAGAATGCCGCCCTGGAAGCTCAGGAGCATTATGAGCAGGGAGGGGAAGGTTGGAGGGGATCTCTTATGGGGCTGTGGCATGTGTTGGATGATTCCAGAAGGATTGAGGAGTGGGGTTCATGTCTGGATTGTGGTTCTCAAGAAGCTAGGGATGTTTTGTTGATTAATTGTTTTGGAGGATTTGAGTGGGGACAAGGATTGTCATTGGTAAAGAAGCACGTAGAGAAAGAAAAGTGTTGGTGAGGAGAGGGGCTGTTTAATTATGTTTGTGGTCCAAAGTGGCCTTGTCCAGTCTTGTTTCAGACACTGTTTATGTTCTGTGTGGGACGTTGCAGTCCGTTTGTTCTCAGGGCCACTTTGCATTTTCTTAATGTCTCACAGTCCAACTGTGAGACTGCCCCATAGGGTTTCCAAGGCTGTAATCTTTATGGAAGCAGATTGCCACATCTTTCTCCCACTTAGTGAACATAGGAATATTTAAGTTACCAGTTTCCTTTTGAGTGAGTTTTGCTTAGATATGTTTCTGTATATTAAGAATTTACCTATTTCGTCTAATTTTTCAACTTTATCAATATAAAGTTGTTCCCTTCTCTCCTCCTAATTGACAGATTTCTCGATTTTCTTAATTTGTTTAGGTAGTTTTAAATCTCTTTTTATAACAGTCTCTGTAAAGAGCTACTGCATATTTTTTGTTGGAATTATTTTTGTATGTCTTATATTTTTGTTGATATTGTAAATTATACCCTTTTAAAAATTACGTTTTCTGATTGTTATTGCTGTATCTAAAATGTATATTAATTTTGTTTTTAACTTGTTAATTCTAATAGTTTGTAGATTCCATTAGGTTAACTTAGTTAAAAAAAAGTATCTGCAATAATATCAGCTTAGCTTGAAAAAAAAGAAAGAAAAGAAAAAATCACACCCTCCACCCTTTTTTTGTCTTTCGGTAGATTAGCTTCTCTAATGCGGTGTTTAAAAGGACTGGCCGTTCTTGTGTTATCCATGATTAAAAAGAATGCTTTCAGCATTTGGTCATTAAATATTTACCACCAGTTGCTGTTGAGTTGGCTCTGACTTATGGCTATCCCACGCATGTCAGAACAGAGCTGTGCGCATCGGGTTTTTCAATGGCTGATTTTGTTGGAAGCAGATCTCCAGGCCTTTATTCCGAGGTGCCTCTGGGTGGACTTGAACCTCCAACCTTTCGGTTAGCTATTGAGCACATTAACCATTTACCACACCCAGGGACTCCTTATTAAATATGTTTATTTATTATTATTATTTTTG